GAAGGAGGGAGGGGGGAAAAACCCAGGGATTGAAAGCAGGCGCTCTCCCTGAGTTGAGGGGGGAAGAGGAGGGGGAGAGGGAGGAGGATGCCTGCGTGCACGTCCGCGACACCAGACCCCGAAGTGCAGGCCTTCGGTTTGTGCTTGTCGGTTCTGCCTTCCTTCTTCCTCTGCCTCCTCCTCCTCCTCCTCGTCCTCCCCCTCCCTCTCCCTCGCTCCCTGCTGGCAGCATGGATCAAAGCAAAGATGGTTCAAGCGCTGCATGCACATGATGCTTGCTCCTTCCCCACACACGAGATCAGGCGGTACTGTTTTCAGAACCTCTGAGGCATGGCCTTCTCCATAAAAGCAAAATAAAAATTCGAACCTTTATGTAATGATTTCGCTATGGAAGACATTACTCGGTTCTCGTTCTCGTCTAAGTACGTCCAATATTTCCTTGGGTTTCCAAGGAATTGGGCGCGAAGAGCCAGGTGCAGGAAGACGTGGTGTTTGTACACTTTGTGCCCCCCTGCCTTCTTCCAGAAATGGACGAAGGCGAAAGCGGTGTCTTCCAGATCTCTCTGTGCAGACTGAGACAACTGCCGAGGGTTCGATTCAATGATCTGGTGAAACCTTCTCATCTGAACGCAGCAGTGAGGGAGGTACATCGCCAGGCTCCCCTGGAAAAGAGACGCGTTCTCACGGCACAGGTCAGGCAATAATTTGATCAGCTGGCGGCATTCAGCCGCCTTGCAATGCAATCTGGGGTTGCTCGGCTTTCCCAGCATCTTTGCGGTGATGCGGAATAGTTTGCTCATATTCCCGCGCTGGAAAAGAACTGCGTTCGCTATGTAATACGACCGCAGGCGGCGCCTGAGGTGAAAGATATTATCCTTCTGCCTCAGGATCTTCAGGTTGGCTGTGCTGCCAGCGAAGTTCCCTTCCACGCATACACTGAACACGGCGCCGCACAGGTATTGGCTGATACCGAGATCTACGACGTGCATCACGTCGATGGCGATCATGTCTATTGTGAATCCTTTCACCATAAAAATTGGTGCTACAAAATTAAGTCCTATCTGATTCGCTGAATCAAAAAAAGTTAAAGCTGCTGGCTCATTCACAGAACACGGGATCTCCATCACCTTGTATGTGTCCCTGACAGGGCCCATCAGCTCCAGCCGCCAGCCCGTCAGCAGCCCAAGTTCGGGGAAGTCTTTCACCAGGCCGTACCCGCCGATGTGCGGATCGTGAGCCATGCAGGCCACCAGTCGCCGCAACTGGGATTTGCCTGTGACTTGTACGGTTTTTATGCATCCACGGACCATCTCTTCGTACATGGTGGCGTCTTTCTCTCTCCAGGGGACGTCTTCCCGCGATCGCGGGTACTCGTGCATGGCTGCTTTGGTCGTGTTGCAAAAAAAGCATGGTGTAGCCGCGTTGTCCCATCGTTTCATTCCGAGGGCTTGTTGAAACTCTAGTAGGTCTGCCCTGTATTCTACTACAGCCCCGCACAATCCCCCAGCGAGGTCGAAACCTCGGCGCAGGGAGCGTTCTTCATTGGTAAACGGCTGATCCTCATGGTTGAATTGCGGGTATTTTCCTGTACATAGAACGTTGAGGCTCCAAACAATCACCCGCATGATGGCGCCTATGGTGCAGGCGCCTTTGCACCCACAAGCACATACATCACTTTTTCGCACTGCTGTTATCATGTGGCGGGATTGCGAAACCAGGTTGCTCCAGTAAAAGGCCAGGAATGTATCCTTTTTGCTGTGAGGAACGCCGTCGCTGTAGAATCCTATCGGGAAGCTCTTATCACCATGCTCCAGTGTAACTGGGTGGCCCGCGTAATGGGCAGGCAACTCATCTCGAGGGACGCTTCCTAGATCAAAGTCCGACGGGGCACGGTCATACGCATCGGCAAATGCCTCGTGAGGTAAGTTGAACGGGAACGCGATCTCTGTGCGGGTGTCGGATTCTTGATCGAAGATTGGAACTTGTGCCGTGTACAAGGTTTCCTTGCTCTTCAAGGACATTGCTCTGCGGATGTGCTCCGTGTGGTGGGAGCTCTCAGTTGGAAGCGCAAGGTCTCCTACGCCAGTACCGCCTGATCTCATTACGTGCCAAGATATAGTGCATACGTCCTCATGGCTGACCACCGCTCCGAACAAATATACCAAACCACGTCTTCTTTCAAAAATCAACCCCGCTTCTCATACCTTAAATCCTCGATCTCTCCTCAACCCGTCTATCTCTCTCTCTGTCTCTCTCTCTCTCTCTCTCTGTCTCTCTCTCTCTCGGGTTTCCTCGTCCTCCCCGTCCTCGTCCTCCTTCGTCCTCCTCGTTCCTCGCATCCTGCCCAGCAGGCCCTGGATTGCGGTTGGGTTATGTTCGGAGTACGGGGGTCAACCATCCTTCGCAGTGAGGCTGCCGTCTTTCCATCTCTGCAGCAAGTATGAGCGTAAGCCAGCGCCGCCGTCATTAGCGCTCTCAACCTCAAGGGTGGCTCGACAAAATCACTAGCCCGTGCTCGCTCCATGCAGTGGTTGATGCGCGCATGCATCCCCTTCCCATCCAAACATCTCGGAAGAGGGACGCACGTGCGCTAGCATTACATGGAACGAGCACGGACGTATGGTTGTATCAAGCCATCCTCCATCGGCTGCGGAATGCCAGCCGCCTCGCCCGAGGCCTCCAAGATCATGGACAGGGCAGCTCTCCGCGCAGACATGGCGGCGATCCTCGATACAGATCGATGTTCCCAAAACGAGGGGTCACGTATCGACGCGCGCCTGAAGGCACTCGAGCCGAGGCAGCTGGGATGCTACAGCCGATGGTGACGCAACAAATCTTGGGGGCCATCTGTATATGTGGTGGCGCTCACGCCATTCCTCCTGAGCCGTTGCTCATGCTTTAGCTCTCGAGCGCCAGCCCTCCCTCGGATCGCCCCTCAGTTTTGATCAAGTGTTCCGCATCTGACAAGCTCGATTTGCAAAGTAATCAACTCAACTCCCTAATGCGATCTGACAAGCGCGAACGGTCCGAGCCTTTCCCTGCTGAGCGCATGCGTCCCCGCGCGCCAAAGTGTAATATAGCGAGCCTCGCATGCCTGTAGAAGCGACTAGCACCACATGCATGGTCCCTGGACTCCATGGTTGCGAAACATCTCTTCGGGCCCGAGGGGCGATGAGCTTAAGAAGATGTGTGTGTATACATATGTGATGATGCATGTGCGCGCGTCAGTTGATATAGTCCTCATCGCCAGATCCGAGTCCAGGGCCCATCGAGAAAAACCGGCGCCAAGGAACGGAAGCGCTGTGTATGCACAGCGCGCTAGGGCGCTTCATTCTGACTTAAGTGCCTCCCTCCTGTCCTTCCATCCGAATCCCTTCATATCATCTCCTCCTGCTCCTCCTCGAGGCTCTTCCTCCCGCGTCATCTCCCTCTCGTCCTCCCTCTCCCTCTCATGTATCCTATGCCAGATCCCTCCACTCTCATCCGCAATAGCATGCGAGCGGCCCCAGCTAAAGCTGCCCTAGTCGGCGATATGTTGGGACTCCGCCTGGTCCATGCTCTTCTTGATATTGGAGATGGAGACCCACAGAGCGTGCGCCTGCCCCCCTGCCCCAATGAAAGATGTAACATGATCGGGTATACAAACTCATATGCAAACGTGCAGGTCACAAAGCATACCACCAAATGCTACTTACTGCTGTGGATCGTTCTCCTCGATCCCTTCGTTTTCGATTTATCGATCGAGAAGCCCCACCCCCATCGCCTCGTCGACCGCTTTGTTAATGTCGTCCAGCTTCGGCTGGAGCCCGTCCTCCAGCCTCGCAGCTGCAATGCATTCAATTGCACTCACGGCAGACCCTCCATCTATATATATAGCTCCTCCTCCTCCTCCTCTTCCTCCTCTTCTCCCTGCCCCTCTCCCTCCTCCTGTCCCCTATGCTCCTCCTGTTTTTCTCCTCTCCCTCCTCCTGACATGTCCCCTCTCCTGCCCCCTCGACCTCCTAAAGCTTCCGATGGAGGCTTCATGAGCGTTCGATGCTAAAGACCGCACTCAAATACAGCAGACAACAATCAAACAAAACGGGCCTCCCTTGAATCTGCTTCACGATGTTGTCACGGATCTCAGAGATGTTCTTCTTGTGCTTGTTAATCGAGCTCTCGAATGGCTTAAGCCATTGGTAATCTTTGACCTCCCCTCTATATGGCCCTCATTTTCCTAGAATTGGTCTCCGTCCATCCTCCCCCCCCCTTGGTCCGCCTCCCTTCCTCCTGCACCCTCGCATATCTTCCCTCCTCCTGCCTCCTTCGTTTCTCCTCCGCCTTCTTCTCGTCCTTCATCTCATCCTTCTCGACTTCTTTGCGATACATAGTTGCGAACAGTTGGGCGGTCAGTTCGAGTTATAAACGATCGGTTGTTATCGGTCGAGCTAGCGTGCCCCCCCCCACCGTAATCCCCTCAAGCAGAGCGAGGATGTTCACGACAGCTCCAAGAGCGTCAGGTATGCTCTCGGCATTCTTCCGCGGGGTGGCGCTCTCGAGAGCGGCGGCGTCCTCTCGAGGCCGGACTGCCAGGAGGAGGAAGCGGGGGTGGGTTAGGAAGAGGGGAAGAAGGCGTAGCAGGTGCAGGAGGCAGGAGGTTGGAGCAGGAGCAGGAGGGAGCAGGAGCAGGAGGAGAGGGATGGAGGGATTAAGTCGAAGGATCGCATCGATCGGGGATCGAGCTCCAGGGGGTTAGACGAGCTCGGATCGACTCCCCCTCGATCCTGTTCCTGCTCGTCGTCACTGGGCTCCGAGGAGCTGGCAGGAGAGCTCGACCTCGACTCAGCTTTCACCTGGGATCCGCTTCCCCTCGCGAACCTCTGAACCTCCCATTCCCTAGCTAGTGATCCCAGCAAATCCAGGAACGGTGACACAATAAATATCGATCGGGAGGTTAACCCGAACCCCAGTCGCCTTGCTTCCCCTCGAGATTCCCAGGCTGCCGCCGCCTCCGCTGGCACCAGGGTCGCCGAGCGGCTGCTTCTCCGAGTGCACCACCGTCTTGACCTCCTTCTTGTGCGCCTCGCTGCGCTACCGCCGTCGTCGCCATCGATCGCTCCTATCTGCTCTTCCTCTCCTCCTCCGTCCTCTCCTCCTCCTCCTCCTCCTCCTCCTCCTCCTCCTCCTGATCGTTCCTCGTCCTCTCCTCCTCCTCCTCGATCCTCCTCCTCCTCCTCCTGGGTTCATTCTCGATTCTCAGTTCCTTCCCCTGCTCCCTCCTCTACCTTGCTTCTCCTTCGAAGTATGATCATTCGTTCCATGCCCATCGAGCTCTCATCTGCATAGGCATGCTCCCTCCCAAGGCGCGCGTTGGAGCTCTGGCTGGTCTCGCGCACCCTGCGGTAGAGCTTGTCGCCAGTTTGGATGTCGGTCTGCCCATCCCCCAATTCAAGTTACTGGCAACCGGCCTCGCCCCACACAACGATCATTTTTCGGGCTCGTTTTTTTATTGTTTTCATTGGTAGTTACATGGTCATCGCCCTCAGTACTCCTATCCCTGTTTCTTTGCGAACTCTGCTCAGATCGAGACCCCAACAGCCCCTCCTTGATGTTATCCGAGGCACTCTTGTCGCAGAAGTCCTTCACCGCGAGGGCCCGTTGCAGGGCTCTGGAGATAATTGGTAAATTGTGGGCCCTATCATCACCATTGTTGCCATCATAGCCTCGACCCATCGCCGTCGTCATCATCGATCCTTGAGGCCATCATCACATCACCATCATCACTATCATTATCACCATCATCGATCCTTGAGGCCATCATCACTATCATCATCGTCTCCGTAACGTCGACAGATGAAAAACAAAAAAAAACAAAACGAGGGGATCCTTTCTCCAACGAGGGTCTTCGCGTTCTCTGGGGTCCAGCCGCAGGCCTTGCACAGATCATCCCAATTGAACCAATCAGAATTGGTATCATCTTTGTCCACATGCGAACGCGACTCTGTTTTCATGCACTCAGCGTGGTTGAAGTTGCCAGTCTTTTTCCAGATCTGCAAGAACTCCCGTTGCCCCTCGCGGGACTTCTCCTTGAATTCCTTCCTGACGTCCTTCTTGGTCCGCTTCATGTGGTTCCTCCCCTTGCCCTTATCAGAGCTCTCTTCCTTGGTCCTTATTGGTCCTCCCTCGACTTCCTCATGCTTCTCCTATATATACTGTACTCTCGGAGCTCTTCCTCCTCCTCCTGCTCATCCTCCTCCTCCTGCTCTTCCTCCTCGAGTATCCTATCATCGTGCTCCTCCTCCGCGTCCTCTTCCTCCTCCTGTGGCCCTTGTCCTCCTCTCCTCCTCCTGCTCCTCCTCCTCCTCCTTCCTCCTCCTCGATCCTCGGACTTCGACCGCGGTCCGTCCCCTGCCCCACCTCATTCTCTGAAGGTCGTTTTCGTGGGCCTGCCGATCAGGATCGGCCCTGCGCATTTTCGCCTTGCGCTTCGCCTCAGCCGTCTGCGGCTTGCGCTTCGGTGCCATTGCCTATACCCCATGCCCATATATCAAGAAACATTTGCAGTATTCAGACATGGCTTGGACCGCAATATTCAGACATGGCAAGCGAATACAAGCTAGCACGCACAGTGATCAAGCGCGCCGTCGATCGACGCAGGTCGACGACCTAGGATATCCTTGAGGCCGGAGGGTGGTCGAGCACCAGAGGGGGGCGAGTTGGTGAGATGCAGAGGCGTGGGAGAGGTCGAGAGATCGGGAAATGGAAAGAGAGTGTATATATATATGTATGTACCTACTACGTACTACAGTCCTCCTCCTCATTTTTTTGGTTGCAATATTCAGACATGGCGCGCGCGCCGATATCTCCCCGTCGCCTGCAGGCGCGCGATCCGCGGCCGCGCGCGCGCCGCGCGCGCGGCCCGCTAGCTAGCAACGGTGAAATTCCACGCATGCAGCCTCCACCCGAAACGTACCCGCCCCGCCCCGCGCCTTGTCTTTCCTCGTCGAGGCATGGTCGACCCACCACTTCGAACGCCCCAGAATCACCTTCACAAGATCTTTCAAGAAACGTTGAGAAAAAACATAAGAAAACATTAGAAAACATTAGAAAACATTAGAACACATTAAAAAACATTAAAAAACATTAGAAAACATTACAGGAAAACGTTGGAAAACATTAAAAAACATCAAAAAACATCAGAAAACATTAAAAAACGTTAGAAAACAACAGCAGCGAGCAAACGTTACGAAAACATTAAAAAACATTAAAAAACATTAGAAAACGTTACGAACATTAAAAAACATTAAAAAACGTTAACAAACATTAAAAAACATTAAAAAACATTATCAGCAAACGTTACGAAAACATTAAAACACATCAACAAACATTAGAAAACGTTAGCGAAGGGAAAACGTTAACAAACGTTAGAAAACGTTGACAAACATTAAAAAACGTTAACAAACGTTAGCGAACGTTAAAAAACATTAACAAACATTAAAAAACGTCACGCGACAAACGTTAAAAAACATCAACAAACATCAAAAAACATCAACAAACATTAGAAAACGTTACCAGATCGGAAAACGTTAAGAAAACATTAAAAAACATTAAAAAACATAAAAAAACATCACGCGGCGATAAGTGGGCGGGCGGGTGGGAAAAAATGAAGGGCCCGCGACGCTGGGTGGCGATCGGGGGGGGGGGGGGGGGAGGGGGGGGGGGGGGTCGGGGGGTCGAGGTCGGGGGGTTGGGGGCATTCGTGGGGTGGCACACGGAGCGGGGGGGGGGCATTCGCGGGGTGCTACAGGGGGGCGGGGGGGCCCGTGCAGGGACAGGTGTTTCATCGGCGGGCTGGCGGGGCGGGGGGGGCCCCCCTGTAAAAAAAAAGCGTTGCTGCTATTAGTAGTAGTGGCTTCCATCAGTCCGCCTTCGCTTCACGTATGTGCGGCCTGCCGGAATCCGCGCCCAGGTCGTACAACACCTGGGCGCGCGCACTCTGCTCAGCCAGTCCTCCTCGCTTCCTCCCCCCCTTCATCGATTTTTCGGTTCCCCCCCCCCCCGACTCACCGAAATGCAGTGCAACGTTCTATTACTGTTACTACCGCTAGTTAACATGCTACTACCACTACTACTGCTACTACTACTACTACTACTACTACTACTACTACTACTACTACTAGCGGCTACTGCTACTACTACTACTACTACTACTACTACTACTACTACTACTACTACTACTACTACTACTATGACTATAGCTAGTACTACTGCAACTAGTTACTGCAACTACTACTACCACAACATGCTGCTACTGCTACTGCCACGAGCAGTGCTATATTGCTACGGAGGGCTACTACTACTACTACTACTACTACTACTACTACTACTACTACTACCGCTACCGATTACCATACTGTAATTACTATTACGAGTTTGTATGTTACTAGTGCTACTACTGCTACTACTATTACCCGACTACCACTGCGACGCACTACTGCTACTACTACTACTACTGCTACTACTCCTACTACTACCACTACTACGACAACAACAACTACTACTACCACTACTGCTACCACTACTGCCACTGTTACTGTTACTACTACTACTACGACTACTACGACTACTACTACTACTACTACTACTACTACTACTACTACTACTACTAGTAATATAGTATACGTACTGTTGCTACAGCTATACTTCTAAAGCTACTACTACTACTACTACTACTACTACTACTACTACTACTACTACGATTACCACTACCGCGACTAATAATATTACCACTATTAGTACTACGACTACTACTACTACTACTACTACTACTACTACTGCTACTGCTACTACTACTACTACTACGGCTACCAACCACTACCACTACAGTACTACTGCTGCAACTACTACTACTACTACTACTACCACTACTACTACTACTACTACTACTACTACTACTACTACTACTACTACTACTACTACTACACCACTACCACTACGACTACTGCTACGTACTACTACTACTGCTACTACTATACTACTACTACTACTACTACTACTACTACTACTACTGCTGTAGTACTACTACTGCGACTACTACTGGTATTGCGGCTTCTGCAGCCGCTGCTACAACTACAACCACTACTTTTCGCAACTGCAGCTCGACTTGTATACCTACAGCGACATCATATTACTAATGTCTCTTCTACTTTCGTAATACCAATATAGTACACACTACCTCATTACTATTTCTACTACTGCCATTTACGCTTACTGTATTCTACCACTGCTGCGCATACTATTACCCGTCATCTGGCAAATACGGTTTGTTAGACTTGCGGCTGCAACGTGTTGCTACTACTGCAACGCGCATAGGCAATTACTACTGTCACTACCGATGCCACTACTGACACGAATAACAATATTGTACCTAGTTGCTACACCTGTAGTACATGTACGCCACGCCACTATTGCGATACGGCTGCTTAAGGCCTCCGCGAAATTAGTACAACTCGGATTGCTTGTACTAGCTCTACTGCCACTACTCGCCCTGCTACTACTACTACGGCTACTACGACAACTACACTACTCTTACTGCAACTACTACTATTACTATTAGTAGTATTACCACTATCAATGAATACTCCTGCTGCTGCTACTACTACTATTGCGTTTATCATTACCTACTACTGATACTACACATGTTAGCGTTGCTACTGCTACTGCTACTTCTTCAAACTATACTACTGCAATTGCTACTGCTTCTACTGATGCTACTAGCAGTAGTGTTACTACAACAACAACAACAACTACTACTACTACGTCTGACTCTACTCCTGCTACTTTTACCGCTGACACTGATATTACTGCGTTTACTACTAGTACTACTAGTGTAACTACTTCTACGGCTACTTCAGGTCACTACTACTACGGCTGCTTCCGCTCAACAGGGGCAACAGCCGTACGTACATAAACATCACTGCTGCAAACCGTTGTTACGTCCTTTCTGTATTTATAAGACGCACTGCGCTGCACTGCATTTCTTGACTACTCAAGGTATATATCATAAGAGAGGGATTGAGAGAAAAGGGAGAGGGAGAGGGAGGGGGATTGAGGGGGAGAGTGGCAAGTGCCCCTCGTGCTCCTCCTCCTCATCCTGGCCTCCTCCCCTCACCGCTCCCACCTAAGTCGTCCTCCTTCGCCACTCCTCCCTCCTCGAGGTGCCCCTTCTCCCACCTCGAGCTCAAGTGCATGCAGCATGCAGGGCTAGCGCGCACATGCTGCTTCTTCTCCGATGCATCGTCCCTCCCCTTCTTCTCTTGCTGCTTCCTTCCTCCAGTCTCTCCTGTCATGTTCACTCCTCCTCACCCTCTGCATGCTCTCTCCTCCTCGATCCTCCACCTGACCATCCGAATTTCAAGATATCGCCAGCCATTCCCTCTCGATCTCCCCAGTCGCCTGCAGCTCGCGTGACCAATATCGCCAGTGGGGGGGGGGGCGCTCCAGCAGTCTTGAGCACTACGCAAGGCAGACGATAACTGAAGAACATATCCTCAGACGATAACTGAAGAACATATCCTCATGCTACATCGGGCCTTTCTCCACGTGGGCATTCACCCCCCGATCCTGGAATCCCAGCCGCGACTTTGGGGGCCTCATCTCTTCTACAACGTTTTATGCCACTTACGTGTTTTGATGACAGCCTGCGCAGAGCAAACGCAACACAACACATCGCATCGACACTGCGACACATAGCTGGCTTCAGAAGCACCTGGAATTGGAGATCGATAGCTGACTTTCAGTGCAAACAAGTGCGGCTCAAAAGACGGCGATCGACAATCTGCCATTTCTCGTGGCACATGCTGCGCAAAGCAAACCCTCCCCGCGGCTGGTCAGGATCGATCTGCCGCGCTCCCCGCGCGGTCAGCAATACGCCTGGCGGCGTTGAAAGGATCCCCAGGGAAGAGATCGAAAGTCGGCGACTTGCAATCGAGGAGAGCCGACGGCCACAGCTAAAGAACACGCAACATGCCATTCCATGGGAGCTCGATCGCTAGCTATGCAGTAACCCCCCCCCAGAGGCGGCCTCGGTGAACTCCGAAGCTGCCCAAGCAATACGCACATGTTCTTCACGAGGTATCTCATGCCTCCCCCCTATCCGTCTCTCGGGATCGATCCCTCCCTCCTCCTCCGCTCCTTGGCTCATCCTCCATCCCTCCTTGACCTCCCCCGTGCTGGTCCTCCATTGCTCCTGCCCTCCTCCCTTCCGCCTCTCCTCAATCGTCTTCCCCCCGCCATTCGAATCGAATGCGCTATCGACAGCGCGCTGGGACAGACGACGAGCTATTGAGGGTGATCAGGGTGATGATGATGAGCACGCGTGGAGGATAGTGAGGAACAAGCTGCCCAATCATAACTCCCCTCCTGCAAGCTGATCCCGAGCTCTGTGAAGATGCTGCGCCTCATCTGCAGCGCCCCCTCCTTGGTGCTGACCTTGTTGTAGGCCAACTTCTGGTAGATGTACTTGATCATCGCCTCGGACGCCTGACTCTTCTCCATGTTGAGCTTCTCGAGCTGCCAGGCCTGCCACGACGCATCGCTGATCTGGACCATCTGCTTCCACGGGTTGGAGCCGACTGCGAATTGGATGCAGCTGATGGACTCGCAGTGGCGGCGCTTGGTCTTCAGGTAGGCGACCTCGCCATCGCTGGTGTTGAACTCGTATGGTCCCTTGCCGTAGGTGTCGTCCGAAGGCGGCCACGTCGGTTCTGTCAGCTCCTGGATCTCGTCTTCTTTTTCTTCTTCGGCTGGCTCCTCCTCAACCTCCTCCTCCTCCGCGTGCGCCTCCTCATCCTCTTCCTCGACCTCCTGCTCGGGCTCCTCCTCTGGTTTAGCCTTCTTGGCTGCCTTCTTGGTTGCTGGCTTTGCTTTCGCCTTTCCCGCCGGCCTCTTCATCGTAATCATTGGTTTGGCTGCCGGCTTTGCTTTCCCCTTGGGCGATGCCTTTGCCGCTGTCTTCTTGGGTGCTGGAGTGGGCCTCCACGGGCCCAAAGGGCTGGCAATCGATGACGCGCCACCTGTCAACGCGGGGCTGGACGGTGCCTTGGCCTTCTTCGTTTTTGTGTGCTTCTTCTTCTTGCTGCTGCGCTCGGTAGGGACGTTCATCAAGCTGTCAATGAACGGTAGTTTCTGATCCTCGATATCCTCACGAAGAATGTCATCCAGCTCGCGTTTCAAGTCGTCCTCATCCTCTGGTGGCTCCGTCGGTGGCTGGTCCACCTCCTTCGTCTGTGGCTCCTCTTTCGTCTGCGGCTGCTCCACCTCCTCTGGTGGCGGCGTCTGTTGCTCCTCGAGAGTCTGTGGTTGCTCATCTTCTTGTTGCTCCTCGAGAGTCTGTGGTTGCTCCTCGAGAGTCTGTGGTTGCTCCTCGAGAGTCTGTGGTTGCTCTGTGGCAGGCTCCTCTTCCTCTGGCTCCTCTCTCTGCGTCTCGTCGGGGTCGATCTCGAGTACCACAGGCAACGTTGCACTCTCCTGGCCAAAAACAAAAAATTAAGGAGGAGATGAAGGAGCAAGGAGGACGAGGAGGATAGGACGACGAGGAAGAGGACGAGGAGGAGCAGGGGCGGGGGGTCGAAAAGGAGAAGGAAGGAGATCGAAGATGAGGATGAGAAGGACGAGGAGCAGGAGAAGGGGGAAGAGGAGGAGGGGCGGAGGAGGAGGAGAAGGTTTAAATTAGAAGACGGAGAAGGAGAAGGAGGATGACGAGATGAGAAGCGGCAGTCCTCATCGGTCTCGGCCTTTATTACGCTGAAGTACCGTTGCAGCTCGTCATCGTTCAGTTCCTCGACGTCCTTGTTCTCCCGACCCGAGCCCGACTGTCTCTCGATCAGACGTTGCATCCCACGTCGTCCTCATATCAATCCGTTAATGCCAATCGCACGTATAGATGCTCACCCACCTCCTGCCAACTCTCCTCGCCCTCTTCCTCCTGCTGCCCCTCCTGTCCACTCCTCCCGATCGTCATCCTACTCCTCCTCCCCGAACTCCTCTTCCTCCTACTCCTCCTCCTCCCCCTCCCCCTCCCCCTCCTCTTCCTCCCTCCCCCTGTCCTCATCCTGACCTTCCTGCTTATCTCCTCGGGATCCTTCTTCCCATGACGGTCACTCCTCATCAAACGAGCCCCCCCATCCCCGTCCGCTTCGTAATCCAGCTCGCCGTTTCTCGAGGGGGACTCGGTGGAGTATTTCGCCTGATCTTTCTGGAAGTGGGCTAACATGATCCTCAGCTGGCGGCACTGGATGAACCTTCGGGCTATGCGCGTGAGCGAAATCAACGCACGCTGAACGAACCTAGTAAGAAGTCCACTACGTGAATAACCAATGATGGCAATCGATTGGCTGACGGGCGGTCGGCAATAAACTATCAAGCGACGGCCTGACGAATCAGGGAGATGAGGAGGATGAGGAGAGTGAGGCGCACAGAGACACTGAGGAGAGATGAGGAGGATAGGGGAGATGCGGAGGATGAGGAGTGAAGAATTGCAAGACAAAGTGAGGCGGCCGCACGGAACCTGTATCCCGAGATGATGTCTGCCGTCGGAGCTCGTCCTTTAGCTTTCTTGTAGCCCTCGGTGAACTTTTTCTTGAAGCTGACGTCCCAGCCCGCCTGGCGGGAAAGGGCGTGGGCCGTACGTTGGGCTCTCCTGCCCCCCTCATCGCATATCTATGGGATGCTCAAGGCCAGATCGACCCACTTGAAACGGGGACACCCTGGAGGCAGGCGGCACGATTTTATAAAACCCTTAGGGGCCTCCATCGTACTCTGGTTGATCCTGAGGCCCTTGGACGCACGATTGAGATTCTCGAGCGTGGGGATGAAGTCCTATCTCCCAGGAGCTCCACAAGAACAACCATCATCGCGAACGCCTTCACTACTGCTCATATTTGCTATGTATCGACGCTACTGCAGCGCTGCTGCTCCTCCTCCTCCTCCTCCTCCTCCTCCTGATCCTATACTTCTACTTCCACTCCTACTCCTACACCCCGAAACTCCTTTTCTACTCCTATACTCCTAATGTGAATCTTAGGATCCTACATTACCCTCCTCGTATACTACTCGTTCTGGTCCTCAGCCTCTCGAGATCTAGCCCCCTCATCGTTTGCCCTGTTCCTCTCATGGCACTTACCTCCTGTCTCAAATCCCTCAAGGCGGATCCGTCATAGCGCTCAACTGCGGCCGCGCTGAGGAGTTCTTCGGAGTGTAGAACGCGTAGTTCGGGATGGTGTAGCCTGCCCAAGCGGCAGGGGGGTGGGCCAAGGGCGCAGCAGGAGAGAAACACGACAACATGATCTGAGATCGGGCGAGCCCCTAAATACCACCGCCACTCTCGATACCACATCTCGCCCTCCTATGCACCGCCGCCACTCTCGCCCTCCTATGCACCGCCGCCGCCCTCCGGATGACAGCGATACGAGATTCAGTGCATGCACTGAATCTCGTATCGCTGTCATCCCCGTCATGCCGACATCGCCGCGACCAACATCAGCACCCGTTCTCCCATCGGCGGGCGGGTGCCTGCGATCATGGGCATGTCTGGCACCAGGGAGTTGACCGTGAGAGCCTCGCACGTGGGGAAATGCATTCATACGCATGTCTCGCCGTCCCCCGTCCTCGCTCCATCCCTCCCACTGCCCGACCCTCATTCCTCTCCTCCTGCCCTCCACTCCTCCTCGACGGGACCCCTCCCACGTGCTGCTCACGCTGGTCGCCCCCCCTCCAGCAGCGGGCGCCTCGTGAAGAACATCGGCTGAGATCGAAGCAGTCTTTCTGTGCGTCGGGATCGTCTTCGGCATTGCAGCCTCGCGTGGGAGTGGAGGGGGCACTTAATGAAACGCGGAGCTGGGAGGAGGAGGAGGAGGAGGAGGAGGAGGAGGAGGAGGAGGAGGAGGAGTTGGAGGAGGAGGAGGAGGAGGAGGAGGAGGAGAGAAGAAGAGGAGGAGGAGAGAAGAGGAAGGAAGTGGGGGAGAAGGCGGAGGAGATGGTAGAGGTAGGAGGAGGATGGGGGGAGAGTAGACATATATGAAGGAGGATATTGAGATCGGCGCCTGATGGGCTCTGACCAAAACCATGTGTTTAAGATAAGCCACGACGAACTTCGCGCGCGCAGCTCTGCACAGCTGACGCGGTACCCTGTGCCCCTGATCACCGACGCGATAGGAATACACGAACGGCTTGGGAACATCCTAGAGGAGAACATAAAACTCGAGTCGGTATGATCTCGTGGAGGAAGACGGATGGTGTTGTGACACGTACATAACATATCTGACAAGACGCCCCCGAGGCAAGTGTAGGAAGTGGACGAAGAGCAGGAGGAAGAGTAGAAGGCCAGGAATGGAAGAACAGAAGGGGAGGAGGACCAAGAGGAGGAGGAGAACGATATGTATATATATATATATACACAGGTCCTCTGGCCGCCACGTGGGTATACCCGCGGCGCTGCATGCTGCATCCACTCGGTCCGCGAACTCGAGGGGCACGACCACTTCGCCCGACATCCGCCTTGCGGGGGGGCATGCCAGTACCCAGACCTCGATCGATCACGGGCGACGTATACGTCGCCCGTGATCGATCGAGGTCTGGCACAACCACCCTCGGACGCATGTCGGGCGAGCCCCCCTTCTTCCTCTTCTTCCTGCAACCCCCTCCGGAGCGCCTGCGGCGCCTGGGCCCCTTGGCGGCGCGCGCTGGCGCGCGGCGGGGGCGCGCGCGGCGCCTGCCGAGCGGGCGCCCCACGGCGGCGGGCCCGCGCGGCTCGAAAGCGGCAGCTGTGCGGCGCGCGCAGGCAGCGCGACGCGCGCAGGCAACGCGAGGCAGGGGGGGGAAGAAGAAGAGGAGAAGGAGAGCCCCGAGAAGGAGCAGGAGGAGAGGAGCAGGAAGCTAGAGGAGAAGGAGGAGGAGAGGAACAGGATGAGAAGGAAAGGAGGATCCTCGAGGAGGAGGAGCTAGGAAAAGTGTTTTTTTGTGTGTGGAACGTTGTTAAATCTGGCGCTATATATGTACAGCGCTAGCGGCATGTGTGCCAGTGGGTATATCCACTGGCACACATGGCATGCGCATATTATATACGCACGTGCCATATGTCCTATCTTCATTTGCACATATGGCGCACATATACATGATGCACGAAATCGAAAATCGAAACTGAATCCAGAAATTGATACTTAAGGCCGTCTCAATTAAATTGAACCGTGTGGATGTCAGGGATGCGCGAGCTGCCATCTTGTGTTAATCTGCTGCTGCGTCTGGTGGCCGCTGTGGGTGCGGACCTGCAGCTCTCGGCGGCTACTCTGGCCACTGCCTGCTCTTGGAGCTTCATGTGGTTGTCTTCGAGCTGCTCCTTCTGGTACTCGTTCGCCTATAACTTCTCGCATAAACATCCGCAGGTTAGCAAGCTCCCCCCAATGCATCACCTCCAATTCGTGCCTACTCGTCGGCTCCTCTCGCGTGAGTCCTTGGAGAAAGCCTCGGCGTCGTGGTTCTGTTTGTCTCCATGCTCGCTCGCAAAAGTCTCTGGTGATGTGGCTGAGGCCAGCCTGCTGGTACCTGCACCTGAGCAATCTTACCATTCCATCGTTGCCTCCGCCACCCAAGATTGTCTCCAGGAACGGCACACATACCTGCATCCAGTTGCTGTTGTCCGTGGGGAGCTGCGCCAAGTTATCCATCCAGATGGCCGCCCAGCGCTCTAAGTCGTCTCTCATGGCCACGTAGTCTTCCATCTCCCGCTGGCGCTGGTCTTCATTCCAGCGGTCTGGCGGGGGCAGGCCCATATCGCGTGGATCCTCTGCCTCTGGGCCTGGCGGCTCCTTGTTCTGACTCCCCAGGTGATCGGTGCCCTCTGCCTCCAGAGTGCCAGCTGGCTGAGGAGGTGAGCAGTGCGTATCCCCTGGGGCAGTATTACCTGATCCAGCTGGGTACCGACGAGCGGATTGGCCGTGGTTGATGCTGCCCTGCTGCCCCTCAATGCACTGGTTGTGCCCGTCGCACTCCTCCTGATCTGCGGTCTCCTGGCGATGCTGCGGGCTGTCCTCCTCCTCCTCGAAGGGGCCGCAGTCTTGAACTTCCATGGCGCTGCATCCTGCTGGTGGGGGCGTGGCAGATCCAGCTGCACGTCGGCGAACGGTCTGGCCGAACTCAATGCTGTCCTGCTGCCCCTCGGTGTGCTGGTGGTACCCATCGCTGTACTCCTGGTCAGCGATCTCCTGGTGGTGCTCCAAGTAGTCCTCCTCGTCTTCGAAGGGGTCGTGATCTTGGATGTCCATGGTGTTGCGTCCTGCTGGTGGGGGAAGGGCACCCCTCTGCATCCCTTCTGTGCAGCTGTCTGCGCTGCTGCGGGTTGGTCCCACGTCGAGGACTGGGACACATCCCGCGGCGTTGTACTCGGGGCACGAGAACCCCTGACCCCTCTCTGCGCAGGGACCTGCTGCCTCCCCATGGTCCGCTGCGTCCACCCCGGCCTGAGGTGGGGAGGCCTTCTCAGGTGCTGGCTGATTCGCAGTGTCCTTTGAGCCGCTGCCGCCGCCTCCTGCTGCGCCTCCACTGCCAGCAAGCCGCTGCTGCAGCTCGGGGGGGCCCTCACCCCGCTCGGTGGGGCCACGATCCACCGAGCTTCCTCCCGAGCTCTTCGATGGCCTCGTGGCTGGTGCGGGGACCCCGTCTTCGTGGCCTACCTGGCTGTCTGACATGACGGGGCCTGGCTCTGGCGCCGACGGACCCTGTTCACCTCCTGGGTACTCGTCGGGAATTGTCAGGGTCTTGCCCAGTCGGTTTGCTGCTGCCTCCTGCGCTCGGGCATCATGGTGCGAGAGCTGCCGCGCCAGGCCGACGACTGTGTGCTGCAAATGCTGGGGCAGCTCGTCGCATGCGCGCACGCTGACCCGCTCGGAGGTGGCCTGCCACAGCTCGTCAGAGATGACGTGCTGGACCTCCTTGTCGTAGTACAGCTGCGGCACTGGCTCCAAGTCGTTCTCGTCCAGGTCGCATCCTGCCCCTGCCAGCGCTCGCTGTCGTCGGCGCATGGCCTCCTGGCCCCCTCGCGCCGCTCGTCTGCAAGCGGCTCTGGACTTCGGCATTTCCTCGACTGTGACTGGCGGCTTTATGGCTGCTGGCCTGCGAAGTACCCTGCCCTTGAGCATGAGGGGCCGCCCCTTCAGCTTCAGGCGGATGCCAATGTGCGGCTTCCGCGGCGCGGCCCCGAGCAGCTCCAGCTGGTCGAAGTGCGGCGCCGGGCCCTGCGAGATCAGCGCGAAGTCGATGCACCTAGCCTCACCAGCTGCAGGGAAACATGTGGGGGCGCCATCCCCCGCCGCTGCTGCCTGGGCATTCAGCACCCTGGGCCAAATACTGTTGTTGAACTCCGACGGCGTCATGTTGAAATCCCCAAGCGCTGCCCAGGGCCCTCCCCAGGCGGCCATCTTCTCCCGCAGGTCGCAGAGGATGTCGACATTCCTCTCTCCAAAGCCCGTCCCGCACTCAAGGTAGACGAAAACCACTCCGAAACGGACCTTGTGCAAGTTTGAGATCACCACCGTGATGTCACTGCCGTCCTCGTGCAGGCAGTGCTCGTCGAATCCCGCAATCCTGTCCTGGATATCCAAGGATCCTCGCGTGATGGCACACGTGCCTCCTCGAGTGCCTTCTCCTTCTCCTGGCCGTGCCTTGGTCCAGTCAGTAGCTGTGCATGCCATTCCTCCTGAGCGCCGCTCTTGCCTTGCTTATCTGTGCAGGCTGGCGGAGGTGGTGCTCCGCAATGCCAGTGATATCCCTGTCCTTGGTGTCGTTGATCTCCATGAGGCAGCCCTGTGCCTGGGGGGCCCAGGTCGTGACGTTGAAGAAGTCAATGTGGCACGGGCGGCGAGTCTTCTTCGCGCTCGCCTTGGGGCGGCTACCCTGCTGAGCGATCGCCCTGCCCTTCTGCGTCGACGACTGTCTCGGCGCGCCTTGCCTGCGAGACCTTCTCTCGCGCCTCCTGAATGTGGGCCTCCACTCTGGCTCGGCGTTCTTCTGCTTTGTCATGTTCTGCTGCACCTGCTTCAGGTTGGGTAGCTGCTGCGGCGCCGGTGGGCGCAGCCGCGCCAGCTGTGCCTGCTGCCTCAGCGCCTGCGGTGGCTCCTCGCTGAGGGGCTGGGCTGGCGGCGCAGACTCGGTTGCCTGGTGGGGCTTCTGCTGCTGCTGGGTCTTGCTCTTCGCTCTTTGACAGGCGCTTGGTGCGGGCCTGCTCGAGCTGGCGCAGCTGCTCCTGGTGCCTGGCCGTCTCCTCCTCCAGCAGTCGCAGGTGCTTCGCCGTCTCCTCCTCGTGCTCCTTGACCGTCTGGGCCATCCGCTCACCCTTGGCCTTTGCTGCCCGCCAGACCTCCTAGTCTGGCTCGGACCACTTGTGGAAGTCGTCAGGCTCGTGCTCGAACTGCTCCAGGAGGGCTGCCAGAGTTGGCTTCTCGGCTGCAGGCTCAGCTGGTGTCTCTTGCTTGCCGACTGTGGCCTTGAGTTTGTCGAACTCACCTTCGGCTGCAATGGAGGCTTCCATGGCTTCACGAAGCTTGCGTTCATCGGCCAAGTACTGCT